AAACAAACTTTTTCTTTATGAAATAGGCAGTATTTCTACTGAATTTTGGTGTAGGTCATTTTATCATACAACCAAAGAGAAATTTCACTGATTTTTTTTGAGGACTGCCTGGGTTATTTATATTTGTCTCCAAAAGCACCTTTGACTGTCAGTTTCATACTTGGTTTGTTCACAAAAATATGCTGGACCTAACTCAAATTCTGCTAAGAGGGGCGTGGCTGTTTCCGTTGAGTGGCTGCCACCGGACACGGGTGCTTTGCTGAATTCATAATCCTACTCTCTCTACTTTCTCTGACTAGAAAATGAGAGTGGTTATGCTTCCAAAAATTTTATCAACTTACTGAAAATATTGAGCTGAATTATTCTATCTTTCTTTATCTGGCATTATTTTTAGCAACCTGGCAAAAGCCCATGTTGGATTCTTTCTAAGCAACACAGTGTCCTGAGGCCACTCGCTCAATAAAATGTGGACAGAGTTCACATGGAGAACTCTCTAATGGAGATCATGTTATAGGACAGTAGAAATTAGTCTGATGAGATATATTAAACTGAACGAGGATGGACACAACTGAACTTTTATCATGAAATATTTTTGAGACAAGTGTTTTGTGACATGATTCATGAGAAAGACCGTCACATTCCAGCCTTTTAATCTCTAAAATGAGAACATTAAGGCTGATAGTGTTTGCATGGCTTGCTGTGCTTATCTACAGGAGACACTGAATGAATCAGAGTACTGAACATGCTCCAGTGTCCTGTGTCCTGTATACATTGTTCCATGCATTCTGCCCAAGCGGAGCCAGCCAAAGACATGTTTTGTCTTCCATTCTGTAGGGAAGAAGATAACACACACACAGCCCACTCTGGAATGGGTTATCTAGATGTAATGCCAGCTGTGGTCAAGCTGACATTTGGTTCCTAATTCAGGCCTTGGAGTAACCATGCGTTCCTCTCAAAGGTTACTGGGCAGTATGAAGAGCAACACCTACTCAAGCCACAATTATAGCCTTAAAACTCAGTCATGTGTCTTAGGCTCAAGTCATTCAGCCTCACCGAACTTGAGTTCCTCATTCATAAAATATGGGTAACACTTTGCTTAGTTTGTATAACAGCAGATACAGCTGCAGAGCTTGTCTGGCAGAGACATTAATGAGTGCTTCATTTTCTTTAAGCATACCTGAGGAGATCTAAGCAAGCATCATGCTGTTTTGCTGTTGGGCACAGTCCTGCAGTTCACTATAGGATGTGGAAATTTTTTCTTCAAATTTTGCTAATGGAATGATTTCCATTTTTTATTTTATTATTTCTTATCTCCTATTTCTTACTTTCTTATTTCTCTTTTCACTTTCTTGTCCTCTTCAGTCTCTAATGACTCTTGTATGTGCCCTGTAGTGGAATAGGCACTGTTCCTTTTCCATTGACACTTAAATATGAGACCACTTTCTCCTACTAATGTTGATAGTCAAATGGCAGAGAGGCCTTCATTTCTTCTACTGCAGTAATAAAAACACTTCAAGTGATTAAGCATGGAAGTTTCATTACTTGGTATTTTATTTTTCACTTCAGCCATTTCTTTTCCTGTTTGTCACTGTGGAAATCCTTGGAAATATTGAGGTTATAGCTCTCTTACATTTCTTCAAGATACTTTGTGGGTATATATTGGGACATCCTGTCTGTTCTTCACAGAAAAGTTTTCATAGACCACCATAGCATTTTCCAGAGACACCAGTGTTACTTGAAAGAGGCACTCCCCCAATCACCAGTGAGTCTGTACTCTGTACTCAGTGATTATTGCTTGTGGCACATTTTCAAATGGACCTCCCAGTGACTGCAGCTGTGATTCAAAGCTGTCTGCTCTCTGACTTACTAGGGATTTGCTATTTAACCATACCGTGTCGTGTGCATATATATATATATATATATATATATATATATATATATATATATATGTATATATATACACATATATATGTATATGTATATATATATGTGTGTGTGTGTGTGTGCATAAATATATATGCATATATATTCAGCTATGACATGGGAACTATAAAGCGTTTTGTAAAATGAAAGCTCAAATGAGCACTTTAATGGCAAACTGTTTTCAAAGCTTACATCACTGATAGTCACTGGTTGTCACTCTAACCATGTACGAAGTACATAAAGGTAGTTTAAGAAAGCAAAGTTATTGTTTATTGAATATACACTACCTGACAGGACATGCTTTGCACACTTTTGCCACATTTAAGTGCAACTCGACTTGGTAGCTTCATCTCAGCTCTTCTGTGAGATTCAGCATTCAATTTTGACCCTTCACAACTAATGCAGGAGAATATTCCTTTTTATGTCCTCCCTGATAGTCATTTACACATGAATAATCCTGTGTGGCTTACAGGATTGTATTCCTAACAGAAGTTCACCATTAACACCCCTTGGAAGATATTTAAATAAGTATTGTAGCCAGTGAGATGGGATGTTTCTAAGGGACAAATCCTATCACTCTCTCTTTCTCTTCGGTATTCAGCCTTTTAGGAAGTTAAAAACTATTCTAGAATTTAAACCTGGGTTCTTATATTCTGTGATGGGTGCACTATAAATACCATGAGATAACCAATGTTGTTCCTTTCCTTACTCTGCCCAGACTACTCACTAAATCAGAACAGCAGCAGCAGCAACAACAACAACAACAATAAATACACAGGGGGAAATTCTGGGGAAATTTGAGAATTGCCCTTCTCCTTTGTGTTTTGTCAGTCTCTCTTCACCCCCAAATGCCAACTGCTCTAAAATCTAGCCAACATACCCAGTGCCTGGGATACTAATCTATCACCCGTAAATTTAGATTGACAATACCATGGGTCGACCACATTGATTACATTGATTCTATTTCAAATATTTACAATATACGGAGACAAGCCTAATCTATTTTCTAAAGAGTTCAAGGTAGGTATCACAGTTTCAGAGGGGGGAACAATGGAGAAATGTTTGTGGTTGCTATCTACAATAATCTGATGTTGACAGAGAGTAGTATTTTATTTAGTAATTAACAGTGTAAAGGGCCGAGGAGCTGTCATGTTGGTTCTTAGGCTGGGGAATGTGATGAAAGATGATATCTGCGATCGCATCCTTTCCACTTGTTTAGGATTGTCAGGATGAGAAATGTCAGCATTATGAAAGCTCAGCTCTGCTCTTGATATGATAAAACCCTTCAAAAGCCAGCCTTTCTCGCTCCCTCATCCCCCTCCTGCCTTGCTCTCTCCGCACTTGCTTTTTTTATTTATCCTGTTTTGTTAGATGGCAGAAATATAATTCTTTTCTTTCTTCCTATTATAAGCCACCATTTTTGTTTTATTATATGTTTCACAACCCCTAATGCCCCACTGAAAATTACCTTGTTAAATGACAGTGTTTCAAAGCCATGAATCCTTTCCACCATTCCCTCAGAGGTTTGAAACAGTCAACAGACTGTAAAGAATAAATAATAAAAAAGTATTGATTATTTTGATGACTGTGAGATTCAATTAAGTATTAATTTTGCCCTCCAGTGGACCTATCAAGGTATTCAAAAGGGAGGATTCGGCTCAGCTAAATGCGTGCTGAGTGCTTCAGCCTTAAATAGGGAGAAAATGTGTTTACCTACAGTATTTGAAGAAGAGTGCATTGATGCACAGAGTCCAATATTTAAGTGCTGTGCAAATTAAGCCCTGGTGACAGTGACATTGTTTTCAGTGGTATGAGTATTGACTAAAGAAGTGCATTTGATGACAGCTTAAACTATTTGTATTGATTAACATTTTCATAGATTATCATGTGTCATATCAAATTCACTTTTCAGGCATGAATACATTAAAAAGAAGGAAAAAAACACCACAGGCATACCACAGCCAGTGTGATGATGGGCAGGGAGCAAGCTGCCCCACCTGCTCCTGCACGTCACCTGTTTCCTGCTCAGGAACCATTTAGGCATAAACTTGACAATAAATAGCTCCCAGATCACGAAGGAAAAAGGCAGTTTTTGCTTTGCTTTGCCTCTGCATCTGATATCAGTGCCAAAGCAATCTTAGTTTTCAAGTGGACTAAAGGCTAGATTTGAGGACTATTTCTCATCCTAACACGCCTTTCTAAAAGAACTGAAGATAAAGGCGTGCTAAATTTTTGGGGAGAAAAGTTTCCCCCCTTTTTTCCTGGAGGTGATTCTTGACTCCTTTTTCTTTAGTGCTCTGGGTGTATGATGCTCTAGGTAGCTGAATTATTGAACACAGTTTGTAAGTATTTTCCCACTTTCTTAAAAAAATGTAAAGCAATTTCCGTCTATTTTGTTGTGTTATGTTTGCTTTAGAATGTGCATTTGATTTGAGGTCAGCCTCTGTCCCCAGTCTGGGACCCCTGTAGCCAACTTCTAAGTGTGTTCCGAGAATTTACATAAGAAATATCTCCTATTGCACTGAAAGCTTGTAGCGGGCTCTCCTTTTTCCTATCTCTTTTCTCTACTCTTGGGATAGGGTTTAATTGCTTCTCCCCCAGAGAGAGGGCTTCTTAAAATAGTCGCTTTCCCTCCATAGGGTGCCCCTTCTAAAGAGGTGCGTTGCTGGAGTACGCCAGCACTTTCTCCCCCCTCCCCACAACCCTCCTTACTGCATTAAAGACAGAACAAGATGTAAAAACATCCTTACAAAAGCACATCATCCTACAATTAAAGCTGTGTTGGTTAGCCTGCTTGCAAAGAAGTTTTTTTCCCTTCCTTTTCCCTCCGAAGCCTCCTGAATCTCTCACATGCTAGTTGAGCTTTAATAGGGAGGGGAGTAATGGAGAACTCATCGAATCTGTAATAGCTCTTCACTTGACTGCAGCCAGCAATAACAGCAGGAGCAGGCAGAGATAAGAGAGAGGAGAGAGGGAGAGTGTGTGTGCAAGAGAGAGAGGGAGAGGGAGAGAGGACACGCTCTCTAAAGCTGCCACTTTTTCCTCCCCTTCGCTCTTTCCCCCCATCCTAGGATCCAATGATAGCTGGACAAGTCAGTAAGCCCTTGCTGTCAGTGCGGAGTGAAATGAATGCGGAGTTGAGAGGTGAGGACAAGGCTGCTACTTCAGACAGCGAGCTGAATGAGCCCCTGCTTGCGCCCGTGGAATCAAATGACAGCGAGGACACTCCCAGCAAGCTCTTCGGTAAGTCTGTCTAGGTATTTCATTTCAGTCCTACCATGTTGTCCGGAAGAGCAATCCAGCCACCACCACCCCAGCCCCCCTTTCCTCTTGTTTTTCATTTTTTTTTTTTTGTAAGTGCTAAAGAGGAGCTTCGCTTCTTAGAGGGGCTAAGGCACAGAGCCTGTTCAGCTGACTGGGAGGATGCCCTCCAAACTTTTTTTTAACCAACAAGGAACTTACTGCCCATTTGACTTGTCAAGTAGTGTTGCCATGCCCAGGTTGGAAATTATTCGAACAAAACAGAAGAATGAAATGAAAGAACAAATGGTAAAAAAAAAAAATCATCAGGAAATCAGTTCTATTGCGTGAATTGGTTAACATTTATTGAATAAATATCGACTCGGTTTCGGGTTGCTTTGCAGCCTTTTGTTAAGGGGAAGGAGAGTAAAGAGTTATTATCTGTAGTCAAAAGATGAGAGAGGAGAACTGAAAATGTCAATACAAATCGCTCTGTGCCAGGTAAACAAAGGTGGCTAAAGGCATGGCTCAAAGCAACACATTTTGTCGTCACCATCTAAGTGAGTATTTCTTTTTTAAAAGGGTTGAGGGAACAGAACATCCCCTACCCTTCTCCCCTACCCCCTCTCTTTAACATATTTTAGCCTCATGCTAACCATGGCGACAGCCCAGGACCTTTCAGGAATCTGTTTCATAAACGAGAACAAACAGAGGGCCACTTCAGCTGAGACATCTGTCATTCAAACATGACAGTCTCTAAGCCAACTTCAACTCCTGTGATCTCTAATCAGAAAGGGGAGCGGGCTGCTGAGGCACGTGCCGGGTGATGGATGCTGGGAGAATGTCGGCTGCACAAGTACTTTATGCTTTTGAGTGACATTAGGTTTTCAGAACACCAGTCTCTGACATGCTTGCTTTTAATTATTTTTAAGTGTGTCTGTCTATACATCGGTACAACCAACCTAGTATAAGCAAGCAGAAAACTGTTTGCTCTCAGATTTAAAAAAAAAAACGCTAAAGTTTGGAGTCAAACAACATCCATGCATAAAATACTTGATGAAGAATACTGATTTAGTTTAAAAATAGATTTATTTATTTATTTATTTATTTATTTAAGAACACTTTCTAGAGAGTTGAGCAACTCTTAGCTGGTTTCACAGAGGACATCTCTCTACTTATAAAAGGCAGACACCAGAAGAGAACCACATAGAAACTTTGTTTTGGATGTTTCTTTTGGAAAAAAATACTAATTTTTACCGAAGAATACAATTGATTCCAGTTTTAAGAAACCCAGTGGTCACTATTGGAGTCTGAAACCAAACTCTCCACACCCAGGCTCTGAGGTTTTTAACAATTCACTCTGCAGAAGTTTGTAGTTGTAGTTTGACTTTAGCTGTGTGCAAAGTCATGTCTTAAAATATTCATTTTCTTTTAAGAGGCTAATGAGAGAAATCAGGTATAATTATCAATTACAGAAAGGCAAAAGTCTACACGCAGCCTCTAATGCTGACTATACTGTATAAGTTTTCCAAAAGCTGCAGATTCTCACCTCAGCAAAGCAGCAGATATTAAGGTGCATGTTCTAAACATTTCATATACTTTTTAAATAAGTACATTTTGTCAACTTTGGTTTGTAGTCACAACTTGTTTTCTGTCAGTTGAAGAGATGAAGGGATGACAGTCTTCTCATCATATTCAGATTTTTCAGTGTTGAGAACTGCATCACATTCTGTATCCCTCTTTTACTGGTCTGCACACATAGTGAAGGAAGCTTTAAAAAACCTGAGGGGGCCAATGGAATTTTATTTAAAGTTCCCTGAAAACATATTTTAAGTGGAATCCTTCTGGGGTGCCAGAGACCAAGGAGTCATAGTTTAACTGGAAACTCACAGTGGACTTGAGAAGGCATCTATCTGCTTTTTTGAGATTCTCAACTTCTGAGTGTGTGATAGAGTTCAGTGAAATTCCCACACTCTGCTGCGAGATATTTTATCGTCACTAGCTTGTCTTTCTCCTCTAGATTACTTTATAAATGCGATGTGAATCATTCTCAGTTTTCAACTAGGCAGAGAAGAAACAAGTTGATTTAACAGTCTTGAAAACTTGAGAAAATAGAACGAAGACAACAGGAGACAGAAATTGTACAAAGTACAGAGAGCTGAGATCACTCCCTGGTCTTGCAAGGATGTCCTCGTTATTGGGACAGTTGTACTCTCACTTTTGAATAGTGCTAGGACTTTGACTAAGACTAAGAATTAAAAATTTTAGTGTACACAGCTGTTTAAAACTTACTAAAGTATTTGTCACCCAGTCTTTTTAAGAGGCTTTGAAGATAAAATATATGGTGCTGGCATATGCTGTCTTCTAAGGCACGTGGATGTCTGGGGCATTGTGTTTTGTTTTTAGATATAGTTCTGAATGTGCTCTTTATTTGATAACAGAGAATTGTGTTGTTTCTGGGCAGTCCAGCTTTTCTCCAAACAAGGGTCTTTCTGCCGTTTCTTTCTCAAGCCACCATGCCTCCATTTTCCTTCATGTTGTTAAAGCTTGCACTTCTTGCATGGCAAGGACAGATCGGGGCAAACCCTGAGCATTTTGCTATGTTTAGTGTCATGGAGAGAGAGACATTATACAACAACAGGGGACAGAGAGAGCTCGCTTTTCCTATTGCACCTGAAATTTCAGTATAAATGGATTTCTTTAAAGCCTGTTCACCCATCTGGGTCTCGTTCAAATTAGTAGCCCAGAGGACAGGCCTGTCTTTCTCACAGTATGGCATCTTCAGCCCAAAACTGCAGGAGAAAGGCTAATACTGATGCCCTCTATGGATAAACAAAGGAAATTCCAGGAACCATTGGGCTTTTTATGCCTCTCCTTAAATTGCACCTCTGTACTTAACAGCATCCAAAGGGAAACATACTGTGCAGAATGTTTCAGTGCTCTGAGCTGCTCAGAATGCCAGAAGGAGGAACAAGAAACCATATGCCAGCCTAAGTAGAAAGTTCAGAAAAGGGCCCTTGTGTTTTATGAAGTAATTACATCAGAGGTAGCATTTTGCTTAACTTGAACAGCCATGGAAACTAAAGTACACTTAAGAGAGATAAATCCACATTTCATTGAGAAACATGTGGTGAGGCAGTTCTTTGTGATATCATTAAGTTTGCATTATTTATTCTTACAAAGCTCTTAGAAAAGTACCTCCATTTTCAGCTTATGAGCATATTCTGCCACACTCTGAGCCACAGGAAACAGTGTGGATGGATGGAGTAGAGGCTTGCACGTGGAAGAATTATTAGAGGAACCAGGGCTGTGTCACACAGTGCTCTAGCCGCATGATCAAATGACTGATGCCACACAGAGCCAGTCACCAAATATGGGACTAGTGATGCACACACTGGAAACTGTACCCCAAACTGGCCTTTGGCAGACAATCTCCAAGGGAAAGGGCTGCCGTGTTTCTCCAGTGACATTTATATTGCTCATGTCAATGTGGAGCCGCACTTGTGGTTATGACCGTCAAGCATTTAGTGTGCCACATTCCGCAAGCAGGATGCTAACATTCAAATGGCAGTATCCACCGCGTGGTCAGGAAAAGGCTGCAGAAAAGATAAAAGTAATATATATATATATATCCCTAAAAAAATAACTGTATTCTCAACTGAAGAAGTGCGATCTCATAAAACAGGCCTTAAATATTTCCTCTGTATATATTTGAGATTTGAAAAGTGATTTACGAACAGAGCTTCCCCTGGGACAATTCGTATTGTTTCAAGGTAAGCCCCATGATTGCCTGTATTTAAGTTCTAGCTACCCTAGGTAGCTGTGCTGAAACGAGTGGCTTATTTTCCTGTTGTATCACACAACTGTGAGCTAGACACACAGTTCAGAATGTTGAAATGAATGAGAAACACATCCTTTATGAATGTTGTAAGTGAAATTTAAAAATATGGCGGTTTGTCTCCTATATCATTATAGTTTTTTTTTCTGGCTTAACAAAAATCATGATGATACTCTCAAGAGTGAGCATTTTCAATATCATCTGTCTGTGAACTATTAGGATAGGGTTGAAAGCTGGGTCAATGATTTCTCTATATTAGGAAATGCACTTGTCTGTTTTCCTTTTCCTTCTACTGAGCTTTGTCCAAAATCATGCGTTAGAAAATTTTCTGTTTTCAAATTGCTGTCCAGTTTGACTTGATTAGAATTTATGGCCATGGAGTCATTTTCAATGACAAAAGGATAAAGAACTAAATTGTCTGTCACCCCTTGAGACAGTGGTCTCTGCAGGTCAGCAGGGAGGTCATTGCAGGCATCCTGGGGCTGCTCTTCAGCAAGGCTGCCTCTCGCCTGTGCGAGCAAGTGGAGGCCTTCGTTACGAGGTCGCTGTCTTCATTACTTTATTTAAACGTCTTTCTCAAGGTTTCAATACCTTGGGTGCTTATAATGCTCTCATAAAATATGCTGGAGCCAGTAATCAGCATGTAGGGCTTAAGCCTCAGAGGGAGTTGGCTGGAAGATGATGAGGAAAATTCTCTAGAGAAATATATTCATTTGAAATATGGAACATGCTTCTACATTTTTAAAAGTTATGCTATATCAATTGAAAATTCATATTCTTTTTCACTAAAGAAGGTGTATTTTGCTAAAAAAAACCTTCATATTTGTAAATCAACTAGATAATTTGACAACATATTACATGCAAAAAATTTAAAAAACTAAACAAAAATCGATAGAAGTCTGTGCTGGTGTGAGTAAACGGGATTCAGGATAAGGTGTTCGCCAAAAGCATTTATGGTTTAATAGTCAAGTAGGTCTTTGCCCGGCTGCACTCTATCAGAGAAGAGAAATGTACACTTAAATATATTTCTTACATTTGAGAAAATCTAATTCACTGATATAATTATATAAAAAGTCATTGAGAGGCTGTGTGTATTTAGACAACTTCAGTTTAGCGGGGCTATGCTACTTGAATATTACTAGGATGTTGCATTGTAAGAAATTCA